TGGGGAACTCCCTAAGGATGTCCCTCTTGCAAGTGAATTCTTTCTGGCAGTCAGTCTTTGAGAAATGTGTCTTAAGCAGTTCTTAATCCTTACAACATGTAACTTCCTGCTTCTCCAGACTATGACTCCACAATCAACATTTGCACTACTCAGACTGGGACAGGTATCAGTATCATGCCTTTTATTTTAAATTGTTGCTAGCCCTCACCATTAGGTCAGGATGCATTTTGCTTTGCACAAAAGCTGTCCTTTTCTTGACCACGGAGTCTCTTTATTTCCTATTTGCCTTTGTACTTTTCTTTCTGATTTTTAGTTTCAAAGCATTTTGTTCAGATGTAAGGTTTGAGAAATTGGTTTTTCTGAGGTCCTCTAATATATAAAGATGTAAAAAAGGAATTTTAATAAAAGTGTCCAATCTATAATACAGAGTCTTTGTCCATATTGTATAAAATCAGGTTATGATCAGGTTCTAAACTGAACCTGCAGTTCTGCTATGGATTTATCTTTATTGGAATTAGCTTGGTTTGGGTGCAATACCTGTATGTTAGAGATTCTCACTACCTATTTTTGGAAGCTTTGGCTCTTTGAGAGGCTGTAGGACCTTCATTAGTCCTCTTCTGGATTGAATCCATCATAGCTACAGGCCTTTTTAGCAGAATAGAGTTATCTCACCGGGCTAGATGTGCCTCAAGCAACCTATGGATTAGCGTTTTTTGTTACTGTTAAGTCTCACCCTGAGACTTCACTTTCCAAGTCTGATGGGAAAGGAGGAGATGAACAGTGTCTGACAGTTCTCTCATAACAGCCATGCCAGTAAGGCAGTCGTGCTGGAGCAGCTGTGATATTTCTGCTGCTGGTGCAGAGCTGTTTCACAGCATTTGAGATCTCCTGGGTCGCATTTTACAGGTGTGTTCATTGGGCCGTTCTGCTGTTCATAGCACAGGTACCCCCACAAGCTGAAAGGAATATTTATCTCCTCTCTGAGATGGGTCATTCCCCTAAGTACTGAGTGTGGTGTGATTTACTGCCTCGAAAAATCCTCTTTCCTGACTACATTCTTCTCACCCTAATGCTCATTCAGCCGGTGCCAGTTCGTGTTGTGTTAAGCTCAGGAAGGGAAATGAGCAGAAAGTCTTTTAAAGTAGAAGTGGCTTTGTGTGCCTGAGACCTTCAGCCAGGACTGGTGTCCCATTGTTAGCAGGGAGAGCCCACATTTATCTCGTTACCACCCGAGAACGCGTTTCCTGACGGCTGCATTGTCCTGTCCATGCCTGCACTTGGCAGTATTTCCATCAGAGCTTTTTGATGAGCTTTCCTCGCTTCCTTTGATTTTCATTTACAGATCGGCCATGCCCTCTCAAGGTTAAACCTGCTTTGTCTGTCCCTTTACAAACCAATTCTTCGCATTCTTTAGAAATGTAGCAAACGACAGAAAGTCACACTCCAAGACAAATACTCAGCTGCTGAGGGGATGGATTAGAGAATCATAACGTACTTGTTTGAAATGCTGTTTTCAGGACATAAGGGTTATCTTTTTTGTTTTGTTTTTCCAAAACTACCAGCAAAGAGTAAACAACCTGTTAAAAAAAGGTCTAATGTTAGCTTGTATAGGGAAAAGTGATTCTGGTGCTAATTTTTTCAGCAAGTTCATCAAATTACATCTAACATACATAGCTTCACCTCCTACCTGATAGTTTTATGACTCACTCTGTTCTAATCTGAATTCTAACCTCTCTTGGATGCCAGCTCCTGTGAGCTTGGCCAGCCAACCCATAGCACCACATTTCCTCATCCATTTTTCCTTCTGTCTTACTTCTGAACTAGCACCCACCCTTCCCAATCTCTCTTGTGTGCAGTGCATTAAGCATCTCCTGTCCAGTCACTGTCTTTGCTTGCCTGAATGGTTACCAGGTTCTTTCTGGCCTGTCACTGCCTACATGTTTTGCTGCAGTACTTACTGTGTGCAGCCACTCAACACTGTTATTTCCTTTGGCCTGTCTCATTAAATAGCACATCTCAGCTCCTTCCTCATGACCAGTCCAATTTGAAATCCTAGTGGTATATTTATTAACTAATTCAAATAAAAACCCCACCAAAAATCACAAATCAATAAGCCAGCAAAACTCTGTGTGGGGAAAAAGCCAACACTCAAGCTTTTCACCTGACAGTCCTTCAGCAACTGGTGTCTGCTCCACAAACAGACAGGATATTCTGAAGAGGAAATTAGAGTCTGCAATTTCTCTTTTGTTTTACTTTATAAGACTGTTCAGTCTTCAAGAGAACAGAATATTAGTTAGCTGAAGTCACTGAAACTAAACTAAATTACACAAAAAGTCCAGCACCTGGTTTTCTAATCCGTAGAAGAAGAGGGATCTGTCAAAGCTGGTTCATCTGCCATCTGGCAAGTATTTCCTGTAGCTGTCTCTAATCTTGGGCTGATTTTTGCTGGCACATTTCCAGAATGAAATAAAGGGAACTTTAGCTTGATATTTTCCCTTTTACCTGCTTTCTCTGCAAGTCAGGAACTTATAAACTGCATATTTTTAAAAAGCCTTTAAAAGTTTATTTTCCAGCTTTATTTTTGGTCAGGGAAAATTATGGAAAAATAGTTTAGGGTTGGTTTTTTTTTTATGGAAAGTTGTTGATAGTTTTAGGTCAGTGACAAGACTTTGGCTGTTCCTCTGGATCTCCTGTGATCTAATTTGTCTTTGAATCTCATGCTATACCCAAGTGGTTTCAATGGGGGAAAAAGGTGTCTGGATGGAGGCATTTACAACACCTCCATTCAGTATTCCTGCTCCAATGTCTCTCACCTGATCACTCTTCACCTGAAGCTGGAATCCTTTACTGTGAGTGAGACTCTGAATAATAATGAGTGAGAGTACTGGGATAGAATTTAAACATCCCCTCCCTCCCAGCTTCGGGACAGCTTGCAAATTTTTAGTTAAAATTCTGTTTTGTTTTGTTTTTCCTTCCCTCTTTCACTTCTAACAGTCACTGTTTCCTAAATTAAACAGAAAAGGCAAATCTTGAGGGTAAATAACCAACCTTTTACACACCAGCTTGTGTGTCTGCTCCAAGCTGAATGGTGAAGTAGAGCAAGTGGTCTGGGCTTCCCAGGAGGTGTGAGCAAGGCTGTGAGCCCTGCTGCTGCACAAAGTGTGTGCTGTTGACCTTGGAAGTGAAACCAAGATCTCCAGCCATGAGTTATTCATCCTGAAAAAGGGAGAGCACCTGAGCGATGTACCTTGTTCGGTCTGAAAAGGTTCAATATCCCATTTCCTCAGCGTGTATTTGCAGGTTTCCATAGTTCACACAACAAAAAGCCTGAATACAACCCACCAGAAGAATGTGTTGGATAATTGTAAGGTAAATTAACGAACTCATAGTAATTACTGCTTCATATTTGATGAGATGCATGTTCTGGACATCAACAGATGCTGTTTTGGTTGGTTGTTGTTGGGTTTTTTTAATTTCCCCACCACCACCCTTCTAAAACATTGTAGGATGGATATTGTTTGAATCAAGGTTTCCTCTGTGTTTTCTGTTCTCAGGGCTGGGTTGTATTGTTGTGGCCACCTTTAGCAACATCATCCCAAGGGGTGGATAATCCCTGACACTTGCCCTGCCTTTTCCTGACATGCCTGGGTACTGGAGCAATCTGCTGGCAAATCACCCTCCAGCCATGGTGGAAAGGAAGGGAGGTGGCTTCCCCCAGGTGAGCTTGTGGCTGCTCTTCTCTCTCCCACTCATCGTTTAGGAACTCACTGACCAGCAAATTCCTCAGGGAACTGCAGTTCCCTGGGTGCTCTCTGTCCTGTGAAGAGCTGAAAATTCTGTTTGCACGGTGAAGGCAGTGGACACGATTCCTAAATTTCCTTTCACCGTGGTGCTCACCTGTGTGACGGCTGCCTGGCTCACCAGGAGAACACTTGCTTTCCTTGCAAACTCACACCTCCTCCCCCTATCCCTTGCCCTTACTTGTACAGAGCAATCAAATGAAAAGGGTCTAATGCAACTGGCAAAAATCCAGGTGTTTTTTCGCACAAATATCCAAAAAGCCTCCCTTGAGAATGTTTACTCAGGGCTTGTTAATTAGGAGGGTAATGATTTCAGAGCCAACCTCCAATCCCCTCACAGAGGTGTTGATATTCCACCGTGGAAAAGAAGATCCATTTTGCCCCAGTGCATGCTCATAATTTCACTCACTGAGATGCTCCTTTTGTTTCAGGGCTGATGTTATGAAACAATAACCTAAAAACCAATAATTCTCTTGAAGATAATCGCTGTTGGAAAGGGGAGCCTCTCTTTACAGTCAATGACTTTGACGCCTTGGGTAGTTCAAGTAAGGATCTGCCTTGATTGACAAGACCCTTCCTATAAATGTGGGCAATTAAACAACCCAGTAGCAGCTGCTGGGGAGATCCACTGATCACAAAGCTGACAAAGATTACTGTGCAGGTCTCCTGCTGCTCACTCCGACGTCCTTAAACATCATCTGCAATTTAAAACTGCAAAAGGAATTCTGACTCCAACAAGTTAGGTGAGTGTGTGTCTGTGTTTGCTCCCTGTCATGGCTCCGGCTCATGAATAAAGCAGCAGGGTTTGCTAAAGTGACAGAGAATATATGTTTGATTTGCTCTGAAGTTTTTCTATTTTACTCTCATACGCCTTCCTTTAAAAATACAGAATTTTATCTTTTCTTTTTTTTACTCTGTTGAAGCTTATATATACACATATTCTCATTTAATCACATGTAGGACTCTAGTGTATGCATGGTGACTTATATGAAGCAAGCATCGTGTGCTGGTCCATCGCTTTGGTTTAGCAAATTTAAAGCATTTGGTTTAACAGGAGCTTAGAGACTCAAGCCTCAGCCAGGGAAAAGGCAGGCCCAGCTCATCTAATTTTGGTCTATCCAGCTGAGGACACAGGCCAGTGCACACCAGTCTGTGCCCTGTGCAGTAGCTGACTTTCTCAAAATGAAGTGTCAAGCCTGGATGCAGTGCAAGTATCTGAAGTATAAAATGCATAAAAAAGTATAAAATGAATTTTTTTTTTTTTGACAGGGAAAGTTTTTCTGAAAAGCCAGTTGCTTGTTTTACTGAGGCAGAAGATCAGCAGGTATCAGATGGTCTTGGTGGAGGCTGGGCTGCTCAGGTGTGAGGAGTTTAGGCCTCCTCTGGTCACCTCGGCCATGTCCCCCTTGCCTAACCATCTCTGATCACTGACTTGGCAGCCTTGGCTGGGTCTGAGCTGGCTGTGGGGCAGTGTGTGCCAAAGGGACAACCAGCCCCCCTGGCTGCAGACCTCAGGGATGAACAGCACGAGCCCAGTGCTCAGGGTGTTGGTAATGGCAGCTCCAGTAGCACTTCTGGGAGATGCTGAGATCATAGCACAAATTCAGGGATGCTTGGCTCCTACCTGCTCAGTTATTGGCCTTGTGTGAGTTCCAGGAAACCCAAAAGGGCTGGTAGAAAGGCATCTGCTGCAAAGCAACCCTGCAACATGGAGATTTCAGTGGGGCTGAGGCACTGGCTGGTGGCTTTATCTCTTCCAGGCAAACTCCCACTGCTCTGCAGGGAAAGTCTGCACTTTGCTGCTTTCTCTGGCAGAACTTTTTACTGAGATTTCCCACTTCTGGGAGTAGGTGACCCCTCATTCCTCCATCTGCCCATCTTCTCTCAGGCTGAGTGATGATGGGGAACAGTGTGTTTAGAGGGAGAAAAGGGTGTCCCAGCTCCAGCTTAGCCTGTCCATTTGCCCTTCGTGCCTCCTGGACGTTCTGGCTCTCCCAACCCTCCACTTCTCTCCCTTCTGCCTCAGCATGAAGCTCCACTGTGTGATCCTGGTTGGTCTCCTTCTCCTGCTGCTGGGGGGCTGTGGCAGCACACTCAAGACCTCTGCCATCGACCTGAGGACCTTCATCGGCTGTGCCGTGCGGGAATTCACCTTCCTGGCCAAGAAACCCGGGTGCCGGGGGCTGCGGGTGACCACGGACGCGTGCTGGGGTCGCTGCGAGACCTGGGAGGTGAGGCTGTGACATCCCTGGGTGCTGCTTCCTCCTCCCACAAAATCCCTCCACAGAAACCCACCCAGCATTAAATAACCTGCAGGTATCTGCTAAACAGACGAGGGCTGTGTCCCACTCTGTGACCCCCTCGCCACCGCTGACAGCAGCGCTTGTGGTCGGTTGTTCCCTCCCTCCTTCCCCTGCTCCAGAGGGGGATGGATGGACGTCATGTGATGACATCAATGAAGCCCTTATGTAAAACTCTTACTACGCAATCTGAAAGCCTCTTACAGCTCGAACACTTTAAGGAGAGGAGGACTTTATTGCTTCTCACTTGAAAAAAAAATTCCTTTGAGATTAAGATGGAGCCCCCTCTTGATGGGTAATATATTTTGTTCCGAAAAGGAAATCCCAAAGATAGTGTCTGTTTCTAATTCGGTCCTGTTTTAAGTCACAGTGCTGTGTAAATATGAAGTATTAAAGTTTTAGGGGTGTACAGGGGGAGAAAGAAAGAGCGTAAGCACATCTACACTCAGGTCAGAGAAAAACTTTCTGACTGTCACTGCCTTTCTGCCACTGGAAGGCTCAAGGGGCCAATCCCAGTTTAATTTATTCAGGGAAGCCTTGAACCACTCAGGGGGATTTTGCTACATGAAGGCAAGGTCTGCACTGGTGACCAGAGGAGGAGCCAGGGTTTGTGGGACAGCTCTGACTGCCCTCCTTTGTGACTTGGTGAGACAAGAGGGAAGGCCACCAGTGGCCAGATTCCACAGTCGGATAAAGTTCCTGCAGGGGACCTCTTAACACCTGGTTTCCCCTACCCCCAAGCTCCTCTGGCAGCACAGACTTTTCAGTCTCTCTTAGTGTATTGCAATACCACTGGGGTGTAGTTCAGCTGAATTCATCTGGCTGTAGGCTCAACAGCTTCTAGGAAGCAGCACGATGTGCTTGGATGGGGGGTTTGTAAGAGGGAGGGTGTCTGGATGTCTTCTTGATGAGATGCTGCATCTGTTCTCTTCCATGCCATCATTCCTGTTTTCCAGGGAGGGCTCTTTAGGCAGCAGAGAGTGAAAGAAAGAAATTAAAGTGTCTCCTGGCTGTGTTATCTTATGCTGTTTCCCATCTGTGCAAGTGAGAGGATGACAGTGGACTCCTACTGCTGTGTGCGCTGCCCCTTTTTGGAGTCTTTGGAAAATGGCTGTCCCTGTTAGGGAAAAAAAATGTTTTCATCAAAAGCAATGCCACTGTGATACCACATGACAGTGTGGGTTTCAAGACCCACATGCTCCCATCATCTCCTGATGGCTGAGGTCTCTGGCCAAGCTGTTTTTCTCAGGAGGAACTTCAGCTTCTCTGCTGGCTGCTGTGCTGAGAGCTTTCCTCACAGTGTACACCCACTGGGCTTTGTGGGACATGCAGCCTGACTGGGAAGACTGGTCTGGCTGAGAAAGAAACCAGCCCTTGGCACCTGGATGCACCCCTTCTCTTAGTCAGATTGTGCACGTGGAGGGGTTTCCAGCAGAATGTGTTTAATGGAAAATCAATGCTTTTGGAAGAAAGCAGCTGCTTTTGGCAGCATTTGGTCGAAACACTTGTATTCTGTTGAAAACCAGCTTTTTGGATAATCTTTCGTCTTCCTTCAAGCAGCTTTTAATTGGGGCTTTTATGCTTTAAACAAACTGAAACACGCAGATGCACCCACTCCCCCTCCGTGGCAGGGCTCCAAAAGGCAAGTGCTGAAGGATGCAGCCTAAAAATTATTTCCATGTCCCCTTCCACCTGATCCAGTAGCTCCTCTATTTACACTAAATCCCCCCTGGGGAAGCCGGGACTCCAGATGTTTGTCTCGCTTCCTGCCTGAGGCCGGCGTTTCTCCCCCGCAGAAACCGATCCTGGAGCCGCCTTACATCGAGTCCCACCACCGTATCTGCACCTACAACGAGACCAAGATGGTGACGGTGAAGCTGCCCAAGTGTGCCCCTGACGTGGATCCCTTCTACACCTACCCCGTGGCCATCCGGTGCGACTGTGACATCTGCTCCACCGCCACCACCGAGTGTGAGACTTACTGAGCTCCCTCCCCAGCTCAGGCAAGGAGGGGCCAAATTCTTCCCCAGCTTCACATCCCCTGGTACCTCCTCCAGCATTGCTGAGGGTGTAAATCGGTCCTGAATTTGATCTCACCTTCTAATACTCCTAATCAATGGCTTCTCTGGGCAGATGAGGCTTAATCCCCTCTCCTCCTGCTGTTCAAAGCATTATTGCTGTAGAAACCTAGTGCACAGCCTTACAATAGCAAACCCTGTGGTGAAAAGGAATGATGCAGTTTCCCTTCCTCATGAGCTTTTCATGCTGTGTGACCTTCTCTTCTTATGCAAAGTGGGCTAAGCAGTCACTGGGAGGAGGAAACAGCTCACAAAGGCATTGCCTCCTCTGTAACAGCCTCCTTATTCACCTGGGATTTAAATCCTTCCCAGTAACATAAATGCAGTTACCACCACTTCCACCACCTCACCCTCCCACCCTCTCTCCATTAGTTATTTTTATCCTGGTCATTCAGGAATAACAACCAAAGAAAAATGTCTTAAGGCCAAAGAGATGGAAACGAGTATCCAAATCACTACCTTGAAATTAGGGTGAATGCATGCTCAGCCCTGACTCAGCCAAGTACTTAAGCTCATGATTAAGTGTTTTGCTCAGTATCAGTGGACTTCCATAGTTAAGCATGTATTTGAGTGCTTTGCTTAAGTAGAATTATTTTCCTGGAAAAAAATTTTGCCTCATAAGGGACAATTCCTTGAAAAAAGAAATAGAGAGAAACACATTAATGCGTAGATACATCTGCTTTTGTCCAGGGATTGAAGGGGAAATGGCTTCATGTAGAATCATCAAGACTCTGCAGAGCCCAAGGAGTCTCTCCTGACAATTTCCAGAGTTAGAGGGACCAAGCCAAAATGCAGCGATCCTGGTTTGGTTTCAGCGAGCCCCTGGCTGAGGTGGTGGGAAAGAGGGGGCTGTGAAGGGTGTTCCCACAGTTCCCTGCACGTCTGAGTTCCATGGAGACCTGCTCGTCTGAGGATGCACAGAGAGCTGGGGGACAGCCAGATGAGCTGACAGGAAAGCTGTGGAGTATCCAGTAATGGTGGGTGAGACAAGTCCAGGACAGGAAAGAGAGCAGACAGGCCAAAGGACAGTTCACACCTCCTCAGACCGAAATAGGGGGACATCTGGGAGCTGCTGCAAGAGCCCCCTGTGACCACAGCCACAGAAGTGCCTTTGTCCTCTGGTTCCCACCTGCAGCAGGACAGATCCACATTCATCCCTCATTTCCCCCCTGAACAAAATGGGAAATTATGTGAAAGCAGGAAGATTTGCCAAGTGGGAGAGGCTCACAGGAGCTTACAAAACAAAGACACCTTCTCAGATAGCCATTAGGAGAGAATTGCTGCAGAGAGTAATACCTGCACCTGCCTTCCCCCCATTCAGTGCCTTGTCTTCTGGATGCAGTCACCTTCATTTCCGGGGATGTATGCTTGAAACTTCTCCAGGTGTACTGTCCTCACTGAGACAGATCTAATTTAACCTTCAGTTTATTAGTTGATGTCATTTTTTTCTGTCAGTGGAACTGGAAAAGCTGCACTGTGACTGAGTAGGAAGGAGGTGATTTTATCACTCTGCCTTCTGTAGTTTTGGATAGAGACTGCTCTGTCCAACAGCAGCAGTTTTCTGCTGATGAAGAGTTTAACTAACCCTCCTTTAAAAAGTCCTCATGTTTTGTTTCAAATTGCATCTCACAATCCCTCTGATATTGTTAACTGGCATCACAGTTATTATGGAAAACATGCAAATTATTTTGTGTCTTTAATAAACCTCACCATTGTAGTATGAAAGCAATTCAAAGCAAGGTGTCCCTCTTTATTTATGCATAGAGATTTCTGACGTAGAATGTGTATAAACTCCTGCAAACTCTTTTGCCAGAGCTGTGAACACCTGCAAAACATCTCTTTGATGTGAAGTCATTTCCTTCATTGAGTTTCTCTGATGGAGTCTGGCTGTGCTATGGTCTCAGGATTAAAGGTAGGGTTAGAAAATGGCAAACTTACTTCCTTTGCAGCCAGCAGGAAGTAAGGGCTGTACCCAGATATGGTGAGGCAGTAGAAACCTCAGCAAGTGATCAGATGAAAACACTGCAGGGTGTGAGAAGAGTTTTGAGTGATACAACCAGACTGAGGTCAGAAGAGGAAGGTGGGAAGGATGTACTGACTGAACCCAACCGGTAAAAGACCACTTCAAGATGGTCTTTTAAGGAGAAGAGCAAAAGTGTCTGGTGATGCTGTGGATTTGCCCTGAGTGACAAAAGTCCAGCTGACACCAGAGCCCAACAATCCATTTGCCAGGGAAGTGAACGCTGGAGGGATTTAAAAAGATGTGTAAATGTGGCACTTCGGGACATGTTCTAATGGTGGGCTTGGCAGTGCTGGGTTAATGGTTGGACTCAATGACCTTAAAAGCCTTTTCCAACCTAAATGATTCTATGATTCCATAATTTGACTGGTTCACGTCCCTCTTCATCCAGCTCTGCTGAGTTCCCACAAATAGACAAACAACACTGACTTTCAAGGGACCAACTTCATTCCTGCCACTGGGGCTTTTTTCCCAGAAGTCATTACAGTACCAGGGCTTCATTCTATTAAATTCACGCTGATTTTGATACTTAGAATCATTGAATGGTTTGGGTTGGAAGGGACCTTTAAAGGTCATCTCATCCCAAAGCCCCACAATGAGCAGGGACATCTTCAATTAGACCAGGTTACTCAAGGCGCCTTGAACATTTCCAGGGATGGGGTATCCACTCCAGACAACCTGTGCCAGTGCCTCACCACCCTCACTGGAAAAAAATTCTTCTTTGTATCTTGTAAATCAACCTTCTTTTAATTTAAAACCATGACCCTTTATCCTGCTGCAACAGGCCCTACTTGTGACTGGATCTCCAAGATTTCACACCCTTTATGTTGCAGCTGGGACGGTATGTCCTGCTTAGAATTTGCAGGCAGTCAACCTAACCCCCACATTTCAGAGGATGAGAAGCCCCTCCCCAAGGCCATCTTAATCACAGTGGGAGCATTTTAATACTCTTTAAATCCACAGATTTAAATCTCATCATCCCATCTGTCCAAAGCAGTTAAATGGCCCTTCTGTGTTTTTTGGTGCATGTTTACAAGAAGTGTTTGCCACAGAGGCTGTCACATCTCAGGTATTATCTCTCCCATGAAAATAAGTGGAGTTTTTTGTGCCTCAGTTTCCCTTCTGGACACTGGGAATGATTATATACATGACTTTTTTCTTCTCTACTGTGTGTTTTGGAGTGTAAGGTCACAAGGCTGCCTTGTGATCAGTCATATCTGCGTCCTGCACAGCTCTCACTGTCTCAGGTTTATTGCCACTCTTTTAACCTGGACAGCAATAGTCACTATCATGCAGTGCTTCGATTTGTCACAATCCTTTCCTGTTCTATGACAGTGACAAAAGCCCACTGGCCCTTGAAGCTCAGCTCCCCTCATTCCCGTGCTCAGCTGGTGTGCCCGGCCAGATTGACCATGCCAGAAATCAGTATCTGTTACCCCGATCCCCAGACCTGAGTTGCCGTGAGAAGGAGGGCAGGATGCCTCCCCGGATGGGTGTTTCCTGCACTGACTGGATATCTCTTAGGGGGACAGGACAGGCAGCTCCCTCTGCTCTCATTGTGCTCGTACCAAAACAGAGGAACCTCCGCCCTGGGTCAGAGCAAAGGGCTGTCTCGCCCAACATCCTGACAAGGACAGTAGCCAAGCGTGGATCTTCAGGGAAATGTGAAAGCATCAGGGCTGTACAGAGGTATCCTTCTCTGCCTATACCCACACAGCTTTATCTGGCAGTAGTTTAGGAAGTTTCTGCTCTGGGGGATGCCTTTGGCACCTTGTTGTTAACCCCAGACACGCAGGTCCTCCATGCCACTTCCAAGATAAAGTCTGGCCATGGAAAGTGTGGTGAGTAATACCATCTTCCTCTGGGGACAGGTAAATCAAATATATTCCAGGCTACGTGCTATGTCCTCTTGGATTGTCCTGTATCCTTTTATAGCAGCCAAGGATTTGGGCTGCAGTGCCTTTTTATTAGGAATAGACCTTGATATGCTTTGGTTTTGCTCTGCGAGTGAGTGCCCCAGGCAGGGGCTGGTTAAACCCACTGAGATTTATGAGCTGCAGAAATGCAAAAAAGCCTTTCTCTGGTGAAACTTGCTTTAACCCAATCAGTATAAGGGACATTGTTCATAAATGGTGGGATTTATAATCTTAATTTGGAGACCAGACCAGCTGATCAATGGGATTGATTCTGGTCTTGAAACCAATTGTAATGGAGAACTGGGTATCAAAGGCACTGTCTTCTTTTTTATTTTTTAAACAAGATCCACATCTCTGCACTGAGTCCCTGGAAGACTGAGGCCAGTCATATTCTTAATTTCAGTCCATCTGGGCTGTCTTTCTTCATGTAACTTTTTCATCCCTGTAAGCATTTCACATTCCCTCCAGACTGTATACCTGTCTTGCCTGCTGGACCGCAGGTAACAAAACTCATCACCTTCCTTGCCATCAGTAAGGGCTTATTGGAGGGTTTGTTATCCATGTGTTAGGTTTGTCTGGGAGTAACAAACTCCCCTCAAAACTCAGACTGCTTGGGCTAACCTTTTTCCACCTGCTTCACCAAGAGAGCTCCTGCTAGGCTGCTGCATGCTCTCCTCTCCAAAACGCTTCAGATTTCCACTCAAACAAGGGAAAAAAGAGATCTTCTTATGGTGCTGTGATAACACAGTGGAGACCACAGACAGTAATGGCAAGAACAGATTCTTAAAATAAAAATGAGATTTTAACTGACAGGGCAAAGACCAACCACCTAAATATTGGTGGAAGATGGAGAACTAAGTATCAATAGGCCAGTCCCTGAGGGAGACCCTGGGACCAGAGAGAGCTGAAGGCTGAGTGCCAGCAGGGAACCAGAACTGGCAGTTCCCACACTTCCACCTTTCTGTGTTTCC